AAAAAGATACAGCTATGATAAAATAAAGATTAATTATGCGCATTTGGTAACAAGGAATATGTCGTACCTAGTGTAGTGTTCAGAGACAGGTCTTATTCGCTCGCTGGTTCTTCGATGAAAGGGACGACAATTCGTTTGACCGGTATTAATTCTATTTGATGAGGTGGGGATCGAACGACTCCTAATTGGTGTATTCGGATTGGGGCGTATCCCCACACATACACATACCAATACATATTAGAAGCACTTAGATTAACTGGCGTACTGACACGTTACAGGGTCGTCGACCTCACCTGGCGAACTTTATGTAAGCTAACCTTATGTACGAGGCAAGGGATGCGGATCAGGGGTTGTTTGTCGTCGAGAGAATTTTATGTATGCACGCTCGCGCGTACGTACCACCATAGTGTCCCACGCCAGAGTGTGAAATTGTTGGCAGGCCTTGGGAGGGGGGAGGGGGGAGGGGTTGCCTTTATTTCGTGGAAAAAAAAGAAGCCGTACCAGAACGACTTCCCGCAGTCATCACGAAAATCCTTATCACTGTGAATATCTGCCCGCCCTTCCCCAAAAACGCAACCCTATAAGGATAAAAATGACAAATTACACCCCGATTAAAATGACTACAATCAACCCTCTCATCCGTATCACGTACTATACATTGACAATCATCCCCCACTTTACTACCCTTAACATACTCTATATCAAGTATTTCGATTGGCCTATTTCAGCTAATCAACCCCCGAGCACGACCCTCTCAACCGAAATGAAAGTGCCAAACGTGGTAGATAGCAAACCACGTATCGTCGGTGGGACGGCGATTAGCATACAAAAAGTGCCGTATCAAGTATCACTGCGTCACAGGGGGAATCATATTTGCGGCGGAGTTATATTATCAGCAAGCTGGGTCCTAACGGCGGCTCATTGCGTAAACCAGAGCATACATAACATGGAAGTGCGTGCGGGATCTTCGAAAAGCAATTGCGGCGGGTCGCTTCACAAAGTCGATAAAATATACGTGCACGAGGATTATCACGTGGACGACTCGCACATATCAGTGAACGACATAGCGCTGCTTCTTATAAGCGATAAATTTAAATTCGACGAAACAAGACGGCCCATAAAGATTTTCTCGAAGAACGAAAAAGCCAAGGAAGGCGCTCGCGGACGGACATCAGGATGGGGTCGTACGAGTTTCAATGGATCCATATCGACAATGTTACAGATTGTGACGGTACCGATAATATCGAAGGTGAACTGTTCACGTATTTATGAGCAAATTGGCAAACTGCCTCCTGGACAAATTTGTGCCGGATTCAAGACGGGCGGAGGTGACTCCTGTTCGGGGGATTCGGGTGGTCCATTGGCCATTGGAGGAAGACTTGCGGGTATCGTGTCCTGGGGAATTGAATGCGGTTCGGATGAATATCCTGGAGTGTATACTGAGGTTGCTGCTTATCACGATTGGATAATGAAGCACATTGAAAGCCTGTCGGAAAACCAGACCACGTAGACGCGATCGATCATCGTTTCAGAAGATAAAGATTTAGCGCGACTGTGAGTGGATCTTTATTGAACTTTTGAACTTTGAACTGTCATTACTATTACGGTGGTTTTTAAATTCAGACAAATTATCATTCCTTGCGTAATCCTGCTGAGCGTTTGGTACGTCCGAGTACAGCTTTTTCGAATTTACTGATGCAGGTCCGATGGTTTATTGTGACCTTTGATTAAATTTAACGTCGATATATAAATATCGTTACTTCATAGAATCAAATAGTTTTCAACTACTGTCCGGCGTCCCGACGCTTTTCCTTCTCTGACTGATTCGAGCGTATCTTAATAGGTGACATTGTACCTCGCTAAATTGGATATATGAAACTAAAGGCACGGGGACGATGTAGGATCGATTTAGGGGTGAAATATTTATTGGGGTTGTACGAAGTATACCACCGTGACGGGGTGGATACCTTGTACGTTTACATTGAAATTGAGGATCCACCTGTCGAAAATTAACTTTCATCCCTTATATAGAAAAACGGTTGTATCGACTATTTAACATAAATAAAATGTACGTAAATGTATATGATATATGTATATGATATATGTCACGAAAACAAGGGGTGGATATTGATAGGCCTAAGGGTGGGTTTATATTGGGCAGGAAAAAAAATGTGAAAAAAATAAGGATTATTCCAGTACGATTCTCTGGCAGACTTAAGAAAATTCCTATCGATATATCTCCTCACCTCCCCCCCCCCCTATCAACCCTTTGGGCTTAAGTCTCTGATATACGAGGAGGGTATAATAAATAAAAAAGTATATATTAATCAAGAGATATAGGGAAATATCTTATTTCGTCACCCATCCATCCTGCGACCCTTGATGATTTTATCTCAATATTTCCATTGGTCTATTTCAGCCATTCAACTCTCGACCACGAATCCCCCATCCAATATGCGAATGGCAAACGAGAAACGTATCTATAACGCTCGTATCGTCGGTGGGATGCCGATAGACATTCAAGAAAGACCATATCAAGTAGTTCTACTCTGGAGGACACGGCCATTTTGTGGTGGTGTTCTTATTTCAAGAAGATGGATCCTTACAGCTGCCCATTGTATAACTGTCCCCGACACTGAGATAATGATCCGAGCTGGCTCTAGGATATCGACACATGGCGGCACAGTTCGCAGAATCGCTAAGGCATTCGTCCATCCGAAATATTATGTGTCATCGAAACGTGTACCGATTAACGATATAGCATTAATGTTCATACGCAAGCCATTCGACATGAACAGAAGCATATGGCCAATTAGACTTTTTGACAACAGGGATTCATTGAACGTCGGTGCCTTCGGGAAAGTGTCGGGCTGGGGTCTTATGGAAGAAGAAGGAAAAATGTCATCTTATCTCTTAATGACGACTGCACCGATTATGTCGAGGAGTTACTGTAATAAAACTTATGATATTTTTGGTGGATTGATGGAGGGACAATTTTGCGCCGGATACAAGGGGGGCGCGTGCGACGCGTGTTCCGGTGATTCCGGTGGTCCTTTGACGATAGATGGTAAATTAGCTGGACTTGTATCCGGGGGATTTGGCTGCGCTCGTCCCAGATATCCTGGAATTTATACCGAGATCGCTGTATATCGCGAGTGGATAAGAAGGTATACGGGAGTGTAAACGAGGCTTAAGGATCGAATTTTTGGAAATTTGTTTTAAAAAATTGTTTCTTATCGCTTACGAGTATTATATGTGTATATAACGACGTTATAAAGTACTTATCCATCAGGCTGATTCGTCTGTGATTTTTGTGTTTTTGAGATTGATATGGTTCGTGGGTGACTTTATTGTTAATTCAACAATTTGTTTTGGAAGTATCATGACTGGTTAATTTAATTAATTTAATTAATCAGGAGCATCATTTGTTTTCTAATTATTTATGGTACGATGAGGATGCTGGAGGAGATTTATTAATCGCTAAACACTTTTTGTGTCTTCTCCAGTCATTTTTATCTTGATAATACATATATACGAGGCAGACATATTTTTTGTCTGTTCTTTTTAATATACCAAAATTTACTTCCTTTTCATTCTTCACTTCGGTAATGTTCTTGATAGACTCGCGTGGAGCGTACACGTGTCAGTCAAGGATGCTTTTTCAGCAGGATATACTTGTAGAAGAGGATCATTTCCTCTTCGATGATCATCGGGTGTAATGGGATGAACGAGTTATTTTCAATTATGTAATAAAATGTGTTGGTACTCCTGATAATTTTTATGCCCAAACACAGGAAATTAGTGTGACGCGATCCGCATTATATTTATATGAGAAAATTATTTGTTTTCAAGAAAAATATTCATTTCGTCGCATTGTAATTAATCATTATAGTAAATGTACCGTAAGATCCGAAATTTTTACAGTGAATGAGTCTTATCACCTTTCAATGTTAATTTTCTTAATTAACATCAGCCCAACACGTGTAAATCACATGGGAACTTGATATGTAAGGGGAGAAAAAAGATCATTGATATTTGCAGCCTACATTAAGTTAAATTATTTTAACGAAGTATCGTGCAGATAAGGGACACAAAATTTGAGTTAATTAAATCTAGTAATCGCAACGAAGACAATTATAAAGGAAATAGACACCGGTGCTTCGTTTCATCCAATCCCGGTGCCAGGCAATTTCAACGTGCATACCAGGAAAACTATTGATGACAGTGGAAAGTGTACCCCCTATAAAACTGCCGTACAAAAGAATCTAAAATCCGATTGGAAATTGGCGCAGATCAGTTCATCGATGACGTTGCCGATTTTCACGTATGATTCAAGACACGTGGTTCCGGAAGCGATGGATACGTTGTTGAGTCAAGAAGGAAATACATTCGGCCGACAAGCTGACTGTCAAAAAAACACACAGACGTCGTGAACCGACTATATACACAAAATTATCATCCAACGCTTTATCATCCTTGCTCCAGTAAACGATATGTAATAGTGGCACGTATACAGATTTAAAATATCACACCCAACTATATGAAAGATATGAAAGCGCACGTGGATAATACAGTGCGCTAAGTGTAAAATTGTGATTTTACGATTAGTACGCCCTTTATATTCTATAAATACACAACGCATAGAATGCGCTTTATTCTCGACGACGCGAATTCTCCATAAGTGACTATAGAATTTCGAAAAACCCATCACATTTCCTGTCTGTAAAGTACAAAAAAAAGTTTTAATAAACGTGGGCTCTTTATTTCTGAGATAAGCAGCCATTTCAAATGACAAAATTATTTGAGCAGCTCCTCGAACTAGTCTCCATCGACCTTCACGAACACGGGTCAAAACGGAACACAGTGATGGCCCGACTCATCCAAACCCTCTAGACTGGTTCACGATAAGCTGGGTAGTCGGTGTTTTGGCAGAGTCGTTTTTGAACTTGTGAGCAGCCGCCCTCTACACCTGCCGATAAGGAGCTTTGCACGACTCGCATAATTTATCTCAAATTTCTATCCCTTGTGGAATACCACATATATACGAGATAAGAATAAGACTTTTGTGTGACGTCACTAAATTTTATTTACATCAAACAACTATTTCTTCAGTATAAAAAGTATCCATCTCGTCGCATTGAAATAAATCATGATTAGAAATCTACCATAAGATCAATGGACATAATGAGTGATAAACGACTAAACACACGTAAGTATAGTCAAGATCAAAAGTCTTACAGTAAACGAATGTTATCAATTATTTAAAATTAATTATCCGATAATCAGGTAACGACGAGCATAATTTTGTATTTTTCATTTAGACTAATTCTCTATTAACCAACAGAAAAAATTTTTCATCTCAACTGTATCTTGATTGCCGCGGCTATGTTGGCATATCTTTAAGACAGGATGCTGATAACAGTACTAATCCAATACGTAGAAGCGATCACTCAGTTTCCATTTGGGTATTTAGATACACAATGACGTCTTGATCATGAAATATCTAATAACGATAATTGAATATTTAATTTTTCCCTCGAATCGCTATAAAATAAATGTATACCTTTGAATTACGTAAATTTCAAAATTCATGAATAATTAAATAAAATAACTTATAGATCTTCTACGACCGTAGAACTATCTCAAGGAGATATCCAAAAGGTATTATAGTTAATAACAAGATGATGGATGAGAAGTTAATTAATGATCGCATCATCAGTGTCGTATATAAATACAACGGACCAGTTGCAACCTCTTAGAAGTCTTTCGAGTGCCAATAGAATAACAATGACGAAATACCTGGTGTTCGCCATCCTCGTGGCCGTTGCGGCCGGTAAGTTAAAATTGAATATCACCTGTATTTAAATTTATCATAAGATGCCTACCTGTAGATCCGATTACTTGAACCATATTATCATAACGTTACTTCGCTATTACAGGATCCCCCGCGTTCAACGCCAACCTGAACCCCATGTCGCCGACTGGTCGAATCGTTGGCGGAACAAGTGTCCAGATCGAGGAAATTCCCTACCAGGTGCATTTCCGTGTTCTCGGATCTAACCTCTGCGGTGGAAGCATCATCTCCGAGAACTGGCTCATTTCCGCTGCTCACTGCTTCTCGTACCCAGCAAGCTGGTACACAGCCCGAGTAGGATCCACAACATCAAACGCTGGCGGAAGCGTTCATACCCTCAGTACAATTGTCAACCACGAAGATTATCGCAGCAATCAGTATGGCATTCCCTTCGATGACGTATCTGTCCTAAAGTTGACGGATCCCATCAACTTCGACGTAAGCCGTCAACCCGTTCCTTTGTACAATGACGGGGAAGAGGCCAAAGTAGGAGCACTGAGTGTCATCACCGGCTGGGGTGCCCTTTCTCAGGGTGGTGCCGGTACCATCCATCTTCAAGCTGTCACGGTACCCATTGTCTCCAAGGAAGAATGTGATTCAGCCTATTCCATATGGAGTGGTCTACCCTACGGACAGATCTGCGCTGCTTACCCAGAAGGTGGCAAAGACGCCTGCCAAGGTGACTCTGGTGGGCCACTGGTCATCGATGGCCGCCTTGCTGGTATTGTTTCCTGGGGCAACGGATGCGCTCGGCCTGGATTCCCTGGTGTCTATACTGAAGTAGCTTATTACCGCAACTGGATCCACGGGAAGACCGCCATCTAAGAAGGGTCCTTTTATAATTGTCACCGTTCAAATATATGATTTCGTTCACTGTATTTTTTTAATGTCTAGAACAATGCTTGCTGTAATTGTATACGAAAATACATATAATTAAATTGAGTATATGTTACAAATATCTGTGACCATCTTTTTTTTCGTTTTCACGTCTATCCCTGTGTTTATGCCTGTTGGCATATCTAATTTGTGACGTCCACAACCTGTCTTAGAGTGAAGGGATAAACGACGCGGATGTTTTTAAAAACACCTAACTTAATTTCATCGTTGTAACTTGTGAACTGACTATATACATAAAATTTGCATCCAATGGTTTACCATTGGCGTGCCAGCAGACCACGTACACATTGCAATGTGGTTGCACATCTACGAAGTTAACATTCTATACTCAAATATAGAATAGCTAGTAAATACATGATAAGCATATGAATATTGAATCCTTATGCTTTAAACGATCGTTTGGGATTCTCCAGATTCAAAACTCACTTTACGCAAATAGAGAGTGTATCCGCTAAGATGTACATATATACGATGAAACAAACATGCTCCCCTCGAAAATGCAATTTTAGGAGACAATTTATCGAATTCTCGTTCCACGCCCCTCTAGCGGGATTTTCTGGAAGTAACGTAGGTGCTTAACGGCGCCATCTGGTGGAGATTCACGCTGTGAATATGCATGATTGGCTTTTCTATTATCTGGTAACATGTTTTACATTACACAGTTTCTTATCAGAAATCGGTCCAGAGGATTAGAACTACTAGGATAGTTACTAATCTGCCGTATTAACGGATGTTAATGGAGGCTGATTTAAAAAGCTACTGTGATGACGTGAATGTCTGCAATGTTTTTTTTTTATTATTGAAATCTTTCTATGTCTTTATACTAAATGTAGTATACTTTGATTGCAAATAGAGTATAGATAGCAATAATTAAATATTTCACGATTATCGTCGAGTTATACCTGACGTATCTTGAAAATCTCTACAGCTATAATTCTATGATCCAGTAGATTACTTGACACCTACTAAGTCATTCTTCATAATAAGTAACCAAGATATGACTTATCTGGATTCTGTACCGATTAGATATTTCATTCAAATTATTATCCAAACGATTGCTAATTTTATTATTATTTTTTATTTATCTTATATCTCTTCGACCACGTAGAAAATATTTATTTTACTTGATTTACGCACTTTCACGTTATATATTAAATCTTACACATATGATATATCGTAAACTGATTATGGCACTTTTAATAATTTCTTGATAAAACTTTATTATTGTATTTTTTTAATGGAACTAATGAAAAATATTTAAAAAATTAAATTATAGATGTTATGTAACGTTAGGGTTTGACGCAGTTATCCTTATGTATACATATTCGATAATCAGTTTAAATTTCGATATTCAACGTATTTAACAGAGGAACCGAAGTATTCGTAGGATTATCGAAATCCATTTCAAGATAAAAAATGCACTTTCTATTAAAAAAATAAATAAATAAAAGAATAGCAAGGAAGTGAATGGCGGATGAGGATTGTCGTAAATAAATGAATGTTGTAAATTATAATCAACCATTTATACCGTGATTTATATATTCATAATCTGGAGTCTCATGATACGCTATATGCGCACCGTCTAATCACGATAAAAATCCAATAAGATTTGCACGTACTAAGTCGCGTTATCATATCAAACGATTTTAATCAATAGGCATTGAACTGATTTATCAGGATCTGAATTTGTATAAATACTGAGAGTTTTAGCTACACGATACAAGTACCTCTTCTAAATTCAAAAAGCGAAGATGTACAAGTTCTTGGCACTTACGGCTCTACTGGCGGTGGCTTCGGGTGAGTAAAGAAAAATTTCTTAAAAAATGTCTCCAAAAAATTCACATATAAATTTTCACTCTTATTAAATAAGACTTAAAAAAAATTCTAAAGCAATTATTTATTCACATATGTCTTATGTCATTCTCCATAGCCGACCCCATCGTTCTCCTTAAGCAGGCTCACCCCCTGAGCCCCAGCGGACGTATCGTCGGTGGCGCCCCCACTACCATCCAAGAGGTACCATACCAGGTAGTGATCCGCGTCTTTGGATCAGCCATATGCGGTGGCAGCATCATCTCCGATAACTGGGTCGTGACTGCAGCTCACTGTAACGATTACCCAACCAGCTGGTACACCATCCGCGCTGGTTCCACCTTATCCAACAGCGGCGGCAGCATCCACTCTCTCGCGGCCATCATCAACCACGCCAATTACCACAGCACCGCAGAAGGAATTCCAGTTAACGACGTCGGTCTGTACCGTCTCGCCTCCAGACTCACCCTTGACTCCACCCGTCAGCCAATCCCACTTTTCAACTCTGGCGAGAGCGCATCGGTCGGTGCCATGGCCGTCATCACCGGATGGGGTACCCTCACTCAGGGTGGCAGCACCCCCACTGTTCTTCAGACCGTCAGCGTCCCCATCGTCTCCAAAAGCTCCTGCAACAGTGCCTACAGTATGTGGGGCGGTCTTCCCGCTGGTCAAATCTGCGCTGCATACCCTGAGGGTGGCAAGGACGCTTGCCAGGGTGACTCTGGCGGCCCACTTGCCATCAATGGCCGTCTTGCTGGTATTGTCTCATGGGGTAATGGATGCGCCCGCCCTGGATTCCCTGGTGCCTACACTGAGGTTGCTGCCTTCCGTGACTGGATTATGACCAACTCTGGTGTATAAACATCTTCGCTTTTTTTAGGCGCGACCGCATGGACCATGCGGAAGTGTCTTGTTTGATTGAACATCACTTGAATGATTATAACGACAGTGTACCCATAATCTGATTGTAACTGTGCATCCACTGTTGGATAAACTGTTTAATTAGATTTTTCCAAATATAACTACATAATAAAATACGTAAATTCTGGTTTTACTTATAACCTCTCTCTACCGTTGCGCACGTGGGTCTGTTATGCATTCCTAATAATGCCACGTGATATTCCAAGATTACGCACAAGCTGTAATTTAGAGGAATAGAAACTTTTTCATTATATTTACCATACTTAACTCAAATTCTGACAAGTACTGTTAACAGTGATACACGAGTCTTGACAGACAAAACCACTAAGATTACTTTAATTTATAAAAATGCTCACAAACTGCATATTAAAATATTAATCGAATTTGACAAGAATGCATTTGCAACCATAAAACAGAAGACTTCATTGGGACGTGCAAACATTTTATCGTCTTCTTACTCGATCTCATAAATTAAGTAACAATGTCAGGTACTTAGCAAGTATCTAATCTTATATTACAAGACCGTAATTTTCACGACTAAATGCTAGAATTCTCACGTTCAGTATAAAAATCTAGTGTATCTCGTACACTTGATTATTAGGAATGCCACACAAAAAACAACACGTACAATCTATACTGGAATATGTGTACTTCCACGATACTATCAGTCGAGGACACCGTCCACCTCAGGTCCAACTTAATGGACTCTGGAATTAAGATGACATCGGAAGTGAATGGCGGATGAGGATTGTCGTAAATAAATGAATGTTGTTGTAAATTATAATCAATCATTTATACCGAGATTTATATATTCATAATCTGGAGACTCATGATACGCTATATGCGCACCGTCTAATCACGATAAAAATCCAATAAGATTTGCACATACTAAGTCGCGTTATTATATCAAACGATTTTAATCAATAGGCATTGAACTGATTTATCAGGATCTGAATTTGTATAAATACTGAGAGTTTTGGCTACACTGCACAAGTACCTGTTCTAAATTCAAAAAGCGAAGATGTACAAGTTCTTGGCACTTACGGCTCTACTGGCGGTGGCTTCGGGTAAGTAAAGAAAAATGTCTTACAAAATTTCTCCAAAAAATTCACATATAAACTTTTACTCTTATTAAATACCACTTAATAAAATTCTAAAGCAATAATTTATTCACATATGTCTTATGTCATTCTCCATAGCCGACCCCATCGGTCTCCTTAAGCAGGCTCACCCCCTGAGCCCCAACGGACGTATCGTCGGTGGCGCCCCCACTACCATCCAAAAGGTACCATACCAGGTACTGATCCGCGTCTTCGGAACGGCCCTCTGCGGTGGCAGCATCATCTCCGATAACTGGGTCGTGACTGCAGCTCACTGTAGCGTATTCCCAACCAACTGGTACACCATCCGCGCTGGTTCCACCTTCTCCAACAGAGGCGGCACCGTCCACTCTCTCGCGGCGATCATCACCCACGACAACTACTACAGCACCTCAGAAGGAATTCCAGTTAACGACGTCAGTCTGTACCGTCTCGTCTCCAGACTCACCCTTGACTCCACCCGTCAGCCAATCCCACTTTTCAACTCTGGCGAGAGCGCATCGGTCGGTGCCATGGCCGTCATCACCGGATGGGGTGATCTCACTCAGGACGGCAGCACCCCCACTGTTCTTCAGACCGTCAGCGTCCCCATCGTCTCCAAAAGCTCCTGCAACAGTACCTACAGTATGTGGGGCGGTCTTCCCGCTGGTCAAATCTGCGCTGCATACCCTGAGGGTGGCAAGGACGCTTGTCAGGGTGACTCTGGCGGCCCACTTGCCATCAATGGCCGTCTTGCTGGTATTGTATCATGGGGTAACGGATGCGCCCTCCCTGGACTCCCTGGTGCCTACACTGAGATTGCTGCCTTCCGTGACTGGATTATGACCAACTCTGGTGTATAAACATCTTCGCTTTTTTTAGGCGCGACCGCATGGACCATGCGGAAGTGCCTTCTTTGATTGAACATCACTTGACTGATTATAACGACAGTGTACCCATAATCTGATTGTAACTGTGCATCCGCTGTTGGATAAACTATTTAATTCGATTTTTTCAAATAAGATGACTTACTCAATAACGTCAATGCTGGTTTTACTTATAACCTCTTTCTACCGTTGCGCACGTGGGTCTGTTATGCATCCCTAATAATGCCACATGATATTCCAAGATTACGCATAAGCTGTAATTTAGAGGAATAGAAACTTTTTCATTATATTTACCATACTTGACTCAAATTCTGACAAGTACTATTAACAACGTTACACGAGTCTTGACAGACAAAACCGCTAAGATTACATTAATTTATATAAATGCTCACAAACTGCATATTAAAATATTAATCAAGAGACTCGTTCGAGTCTCGCGCCAAGTACAGGCAACCCGCTGTACAGGGCGTAGCGCACCGAGACTCTTTACTCGAGTCAACTCCTTATCCCCCAAAAACACTTACGTGTAAAAAACTACGCCAAGTACATGATTGCTGTGAATTCCTCTAACAAAAAGTATTGATATCATATTATTGAGGGCAAGTACATAAGTCACTACATGTGTTCCTATTATATGATCCAGCACTGGCCCATAATTTTAATTATATTTTCAATATTTCCTATAACGTTTTCGCTACTCTTTTATGTTACTGCTGCTTCCCGTATTTAATTATGATTTAATGGTGATTTAATAATTAATAAAACT